GTCCTGAAAAGAGAGGTACATATCTGAAGAAACTTGGAACTAAATTATCCTCACAAATTTTTCCCTCCTCTGGATCTCAGTATCCAGAACAGCTGGAAATGAAATTCAGCTAGCAGGCTCTATTAATTAAATAATATATGTATATATGTGCATATAATATGGGTGTATCTGTGGTGCATGCGGGCATACACGTGTGTGGTATGTGTGTGTGTAGGAAGGAATTATGCCTCCCATGTGTTGGAGGAGTACATTTGTATATTTGTGATCAGACCTCTTGAAGTAAATATTCCTTTGTATAAGGTCTTGTGTTAATATATATTTATAAATATGTTATATGTTTATAAATACAGATATTTATAAAGAAATATATAGTCCACACTTACTCAGCACAAAGCACTTTTCCAGGCACTGGAATTACTGGGACAGAAAGGATAATATTTTCTGCTCTCAAAGGCTAAATGTTTTGGAGGGGGAAAGGAGGGAGGATCCAACCTGACACAGATAAATAATTATCGACTAAAGTATATACAAGGCAAAGCAAAGAGATTTCAAGAAACCTGGGAAGACTTGTATGAACTGATGCAGAGTGAAGTGAGAACCAGAAGAACAATTTATACAACAATGCTGTAAAGACAAGTGATTTTGGAAGATCTAAGAACTCTGATCAATGCAATGATTCCAGAAAACCAATGACACTTTTTTTTTTTTTTTTGGTAAGGCAATTGGGGTGAAGTGACTTGCCTAGGTCACACAGCTAGTAAGTGTCATGTGTCTAAGGCCGGATTTGAACTCAGGTCCTCCTGACTCCAGAGTTGATGCTCTATCCACTGCACCACCTAGCTACCCCACAGTGACACTTCTTGATGGAAAAGTGATGGACTCAGGATGCCGAATGAGATACACATTTTTGGACATGGATAACGTGGGAATTTGTTTTGCTTGACTGTGCAAGGCTTTTGTTTTTCTTTTTAATTGGGACCAGTGGAAGAGAAAATAAATGCTTATGATTTGAAAAATTACATTTTAAAACAAAGTAATTTTAAGTGACAGAAAACACAAACAACCAGAGCTCCGGAGTAGCTTGCTGTAGGAAGTGGCACCTGAGTTTTGCCTCAAAGTAGGTAGAGATTTTCAGAAGCAGATCCTGGAGTGGAGGGGGTGGGGGAGTGGCAGGACTTCATTGCAGACATGGTGGCCATGCTGTACAAAGGGACCGAGATGGCAAATAGAATGTCATATATGGAGAACATGTCCTTTTCCCAAGGAAAACTATTTGCTCTTAGGTTGACTTCTCTTACCTCACATAGACTTGCAGGGAGCTTGAGCCAAACCTGGGAGGGACAGAATCCAGGATCTTGAAGGTAAGTGTCTATCTGTTGGACAGTCATTGTGTCAGAGAAGCCTCTTGTACTGCTTGTCCACTGGGTGCAGAACCTTGCAGTGGGCCCTGAAGGGAAAGGGGGGCGCTCCAGAGACAAAGAAACTGGGCTCATGGGAATATTTCATATGTATCTTTCCACAATGTGGAAAAAATCATAAAAACTTATGCAGGTGGTGCTGCTTTACAAGCCCTTATGGTGGATACTGAATCCCATTTCAATGCTATGTGGGGGAGAAGGGATTAGCTCTATAAAAGATCCCTGCAGGGTGATCTTGGCTGCCGCAAATTTTCTCTCTCATGTGTCTTTGGAGGTAAATCTGGATCCTAATAGATTGGCTCCATTTTAGTTGAGGCTCACCTGTACTCGGAGCTTTACTGATCTGAGCATGAGCACTGAGTTAGGGGCCCAGCAGGAAGTAGTGGTAGGGAATAAAGAAAAAAGGAACCTGAATTCAACTGAGTTAGGCAGAGAAGACTTCATACAAAGTCAACTTTAACAGAGTGAGTGAAAAGGAGGATGTGCAATAGCTAAGAAGCCAGAAATAGTCTCATCCAAGGTTCATAAATGCTGGTCACAGATTCCAAAGGGGACAGACTCATCATTAGAGTAAAAAAAAAGTCCAAGAAGTTAGAGGAAACCTCATGCTCTGTGATGGTAACAGCTCTGGGGTTAAGATTTCCAAGCTGAGATGGGGTTAGGGCACCAGATTGTGAGGATAGTAGGAGGCCAGAACCTCAAAGAGGTCTGACTGGGTCCAGTCAGAAAAGGGAATTGAGAGTCAAGGTCTCTTGGGTAGGAAGGAAGTGGTTTTTGGGGTCACAAGGTGATAGTAGAATGAGTATCAGAAACTTAGGGTGAGAAGTGAGCGTGGGTTAGAACCCCCAAATGAGAGAAAAACAGGTTGTTAGAAACTCCAAATTGGGAGGAGAATTGGGGCTCAGGGCCTGGTGATTTTTAAAAGAGGGTTTCAGAACTTAGGGGAGGGAGGAATTGATGCTTCCAGGATACAGGATAATGAGGGTGAGAACCTCAGGATGGAAGGTCAGTGAGGAACGAGGGAATCCAGGATGGAAAGGAAATGAGGACTGGAAAGAAGTGAGGATTTAGGTCCTATAGATGAGAAAGGGGATAGGAACCAGGCTCCAAGTGAGAAGGGGAGTAGGGTTGGAGGTCAGAGGCCGAGATAAGAATGGGGATTAAGAAAACAGGTGGATTTTAAAGGTGTATACATAGAGAGAGTAGGTTTAATTTGACTTTGATGTAATGATAAAAAAAATCAAATTAAGTTGGCTAAATGGATCTAAGTAAGTGGATTAATCTGATTAATTAAGGGATAGTACTAGTAAGGGAAAAAAGGAAAGGAGGAGGCAGTCAAGGGTAAATTATGTTACAGGAAAAGGCACAAAAACCTATTACAGTAGAGGGAAAGAAGAAGGGAGATGAGCGTTGTTTGAACCTTACTCTCTTCAGATTTGGCTGGAGGAGGGAATAACATAATCAGTTAGGTATAAAAATCTAACTTGCCCTATAGGCAGTAGGAGGGAAAAGGGTAAAGAAAAGGAAGGGAGATTAAAAAGGAGGGAAGAAGTAGTAAGGGTAAAGGGGAAGAAAAGGGAGGGGGCTAACAGAAGCGAGGCAGGATGCAAAACACTATTGAAGAGGCAAAGGGAGAAAGGAGAAAGAAAAGCATAAACGGGGGGAAATAGGATGAAGAGAAAGACACAGATAGTAATCATAACTGTGAATGTGAATGGGATAAACTCTCCCATAAAACAGAGTAGATAGGAGAATGGATTAAAAAGCATAATCCTACAATATGTTGTTTACAGGAAACACATTTGAAACAGGGACACACATTGAGTAAAGGTAAAAGGCTGGAGTAGAAAGTATTATGCTTCAGATGAAGTAAAAAAAAAAGCAGGGGTAGCAATCCTGATTTCAGACAAAATAAAAGCAAAAATAGATCTTATTAAAAGAGATAAGGAAGGAAACTACATCCTGCTAGAAGACACCATAAACAATGAAGTAATATCATTAGTAAACATATATGCACCAAGTGGTATTGCATCCAAATTATTAGAGGAGAAGTTCAGGGAGTTACAGAAATAAATAGACAGCAAAACTATACTAGTAGGAGACTTCAACCTCCCCTTCTCTGAACTAGATAAATCTAACCACAAAATAAACAAGAAAGAAGTTAAGGAGGTGAATAGAATTTTAGAAAAGTTAAATATGGTAGACCTCTGGAGAAAATTGGATGGGGATAGAAAAGAATATACTTTTTATCCCAGCAGTACATGGCACGTACACAAAAATTGACCATGTACTAAGGCATAAAAGCCTCACAATCCAATGCAGAAAGGCAGAAATATTAAATGCATCCTTTTCAGATCATGATGCAATAAAAATTATATGTAATAAAGGGCCATGGAAAGAGAGACTAAAAATTTATTGGAAACTAAATAATCTAATCCTAAAGGATGAATGGGTCAAACAATAAATCATAGGAAAAGAAAACAGGTGGAATGGTAAGTAGGGGTAATAGTTCTTAACCTGGAAAGGGAGTCATGAAGTCAGGGGACCAGGCTGAGTTGGGGAATGGAAAAGTGGGGAGGATAAGTGTTAAGAAATTGACCTGATACCACATCACGCTTATCACAATGGCCAATATGACCAAACAGGAAAATGATAAATGTTGGAGAATATGTGGGAAAATTGGAACACTAATGCATTGTTGTTGGAGTTGTGAAATGATCCAACCATTTTGGAGAGCAATTTGGAACTATGCCCAAAGGCCTATAAAAATGTGCACACTCTTTGACCCAGCAATAGCACTTCTAGGGCTATATCCCAAAGAGATCACACAAACGGGAAAAGGAACCACATGTACAAAAATGTTCATAGCAGCTCTTTTGCGGTGGCAAAGAATTGGAAATTGAGAGGATGCCCATCATTTGGGGAATGACTGAGCAAGTTGTGGTATATGAATGTGATGGAATACTATTGTGCTATAAGAAATGATGAACAGGCTGACTTCAGAAAAACCTTGAAAGACTTGTATGGTCTGATGCTGAGTGAAGTGAGCAGAACCAAGAGAACGTTGTACACAATAACAACCACGTTATGTGATGACTAATATTGATAAACTTAACCCTTCCTGGCAACAAAAGGATCTAAGACATCTCTAGATGCCTTGTGATGGAAAATGCTATCCATATTCAAAGAAAGAACTATGGAAGATGAACTGCTATTTTTTTTTCTCTTCTGTTGATTTTTGTTTCCTCTTTCTGATGGTTCCTCCTATTGGTTTTAATTTTTACTTACAACATCACTGATGTGAAAATATGTTTAATATGAATGTAAATGTATAGCCTATATCAGATTGTGTGCCGTATTGGGGAGGGTGGTGGGGAAGAATGGGAAGAAAAATTTTAAACTCAAAAGCATATGGAAGTGATTATTGATAAATCAAAATAAATTAATAAAAAAAAAGAAACACACACACACACAAAGAAACTGACCTGGGAAGAGAAAACTATTTTGATATATGGAAGAGGCACAATTTTTAGATTTTTATTTGAATTTTTAAAATAAAAGCAATTTTTGGTGCACTGAAAGACTAGACACCTGCGTCCCAGCACAGGAGCTGTGTTCTGAGAGATTGTAGTAGAAGCAATAGCTGTAGGTTTTTTCCCTTCTCTACCTCCTTCTCTTCCTTTTCATTTGACTGCTGCCTTGGCTTGCTTTTATTTAGATATTAAATCCTTCTTTTCCTTTCTTTTCTTTTCTTTCCTCAAAGAACAGTTCTGTGGGTTAGAGGTGAAAAGGCATCCTTCCATCTCACTTCAGATCTTCCATCAGGATAGGCTAGGTCTCCCTCAAGGCTTTAAGGAACAGGTCTTTGTGGCTGAGGTACCAGTCTGCCATGAAGCTGCAGAGCTTTCTCATTTTGTCCAGATTGATGTCCTCAGCCCTGACTTCTTGGTATTGTTCCTTGCTGAGGACATTTCCATACAATTTGTCTAGGACAGGGTCCAGTTGGATGACACAGTTGAGGAAGTCTGTCCAATACTTGTCCCCAAAATGTATCCATGGGGGGTATAGGACAGAGGGAACTGTAAAGAAAGGATGAGATGATGGCTTAAAGGGGAGGAGGAGGCAGCAGTTATAAAGAAAGCAGCAAGTAGATGGCTCCTGGGAAGGAGAATGATATATAACGGGGAGTTGGAATGTGGGAGGAGCAGCCCAAGTATGTTCCACCTACCCTTCCTTGGTTCTGGGTGGGGAGAGCTCTTCTAAGTATTTGTGTTTTTTTACATCAAGGCTGAGGCTGTACTCACTCCTCCCACCCTACCTCCCAGGACCAAAAATAACCAACACCTATGATTATAATTTCTGAGCCTTGAGTGGAGTCATTTTCCACTCCTCTTGGCTAACTTATCTCCTTTCCCTTCTTCATACCTCCTCTAAAGGCAGGCCTCCTGTGAGAAATCTTCCTTTATTAACTCCATTGTGCTCACCTACTTCCCTTCTTCATCCTTTACCCCCTTTCACTCCAATGCCCTAATGTTTGGCATTCGGGACTAGCAAAGCTTTGGTTCCAGGGTTTCTGAGTATAGGTGAACTTCAATTAAAACAAACCTGGTCTGGGGCAGCTAGGTGGCAAAGTGGATAGAGTACCAGCCCTAGAGTCAAGAGTTCAAATCCAGCCTCAGACACTTGACACTAGCTGTGTGACCCTAGGCAAGTCACTTAACCCTAATAACCTCATCCCCCCCCACACCCCGCCAAAAAAAAAACCAAAACACCACCTGGTCAATGAAAATTCCAAAGATACATGAAAGGGGACTTTTGCTACAGCAAGGCCACACTGCATGTCTCCTTTAAAGAACCATCACTCCCAGGGTATGGAATTGAGATTCTATTTACCCACAGGTTTTTCAGGAGCATGTCCTCTGTAAGGACCCAGAAGTAATCATAGTACAGTGTATTTTATAACTTGATCATATTATGGAAAGAAACACGTAAAACATTCTCTGGGCACAGTTCCTATCTACTTTTGGATCTCTTTCAGGTTCCTCCCACTTTCTAGCAATCATTTAGACCTGACTTCTCCTTTCCCTTCAGCCCTGTTCCTCCCACTTCATCAGGACCATTCTTTTCATACTAGTTCCACCTTTTTCCCCCCCAAATACTCATTGGTTGTGGTGGAGGAGTCTGAATACTCCTTTCTCCCTATTGCTATTTACAGACTGATTCTACTGTCATCACTCAGTAGCCCCTTATCCTTTGAGGTTCATTCTATCTAAATTTATCAGCCAATCCAGATTCTGGTAGCTGTTATTTACCATCTCCCCCCCCAAGACATCCTCCCTTTTTTCTCATAAATTCAGTAGATGGGTTGCTGTATGTCTCTCTACCCCAACTCTTGACTTTCTACTAGAGGCCTTCAATATACATCCTGATATTTCTTCAGGTACACTAACCTCCAAGTTCCTCAATGTACTCAGCTCCCATGACCTACTCCTCCTGATGGCCACATCTTTGATTTTGCCCTCATTCACAAGTGTTCTGCCTCCATGATCCTAAACTCTGAAACATTTTTTGTCTAATCAGAACCTCCTACCATTTGATCTCTCTCCATTCCTTATTTCACCTAAACCTATTCTTCATCCCCACAGTGACTTCTAGTCCCACCAAGTCTAGTCCACAGGCATTTGTTAAGTACTTCAGTCCTCATTTTTCTAGACTTCTCTGTAATATTGGACAGTGTTGATCACTATCTTCTCTTGGATACTCATTCCTCTCTTAGTTACTCATTTGGTTCTTCTTCTATTTGACTACTATCTATCGTTCTCCTTTGCTGGATCAATGTCCATGTCATGTCCACCAAATGTGGTTGTATTCCAAGGCTCTGTTCTGGGCCCTCTTTGCTCTCCATACTTTCTCTCTTTGTGACCTCATCAGCTCCCATGAGTTCAATTATTATCTCTATGAAGATGGTTCATAGGCATAAACATCCAGGCTTTGTCTTCCACTCCCAGAGTATTGAATTGAGATTCTATTTACCCACAGTTTTTTCAGGAGCATGTCCTCTGTAAGGGCCCAGTGGGATCACTGCGCTATATCTGTTAAAGACACCACTATCCTTCTGGTCACTCAGGTTTGCAATCTTTGTGTCATCTTCATCTCACTTTCATTCACCCCACATTTCCAATTAGTTGACACATGTCTGGAATTTGCCATCATCCCACATATATGTCCATCATGCTAGTTTAGATCCTAGTTATCTTTCACCTGAACTGTTGAAAAGCATATTATTTGGTCTTCCTGACTCAGGTCTCTCCCTTCTCTAATCTATCCTCATTGCCACTAAAGTAATTTTCCTAAAGCCCGGTTCTCATCATGTAATGTTTTATTCAATTAATTCCAATAGTTACCTATTAAAATGCAAACTCTTTTGTTTGACATCTAAAGCTCTTAACATCTTGTCTTATTTCTATGGTCTATCCATACTGGTATACTTGCTGTTCCTCACGGCAAGAGACAGAAAATCTCCCATCTCCATGATTTTGTGCTTCTTATTCCCCATGCCTGGAATGTTCTGCTTTCTCACCTCTGCCTCTTGGAATCCCAGAATTCTTCTAAAACTCAACTCAAGTACAACTTTTTGTTGGAAGTCTTTTCTGGTCTTTGTAGATACAATCGCCTTCTTTTTTAAGACTGTCTTATACCTGATCTGTATATATCTTACATATATGTATACATGTGCATGTCATCTACCCCATTTAAGTGTGAATTACTGGAGGGCAGGGACTGTTTTGATTTTGCCAATTATACTCCTAGCATTTATCACAGTGCCTGGCACAAAGAAGGTTAATAAATGCTTGTTTGTTTGCTTGTATGATTCCCTCTGGAATTCCTTTTTTCTTCCTTAGCACTTAGTGGGCACTCAACACTCAGTAAAAGAAATTTTCTTGATTGATCAATGAACTGAATGACAAATTGACTGAAAGACCTAGCTAGTTCCCACACCATGGAGAATGTTCCCTGATCCTGGATTTTTACCCTTTCATGTTTAATTCCAGCTTTCCACAAGACTTCGAGGGTCTAGGGGCAAATAGAGTCCCCTGAAAGAGAAAGACTGAGTTCTTACCTGATGGGGTGGATGTTGGGGCTGGTACTGGAGTGGATTGGGCTACATTTCCATCTGAGACACATCCTGAGGCTGTAAATAGAGTATTGAGTTGACATCTCAAATTCTCCCAGACCTGAGCCTCTCCTTCCTGGGAAGCCCCCTCTGTCTTTTTCTTCCCCACCTTCCTCATTCTACCCACCAGCTCCACCTTCCCTGACAGAAATCAGATTTCTTTCATTTTAGACATCACAGGACAGGAGTAGTGAGGGGAAGAGTATGCAGGTTGGAACAAATAGGTGTTCTCTGTATGCACGCCTCCTTTTATTTATATAAAAGTGTGTGTCAGCATGAGTGATGTGGCACAGACTAACTATAGAATTCAGTCCTTAAAGCATGCATGATTTTCTTTTGCCAGTTTCTAATCCAACTATGTATAAACTTTGGAGGAGCCAGTTTCTGATTGTGCATTATGGAAATTAATGTACTATGTGATGATGAAAAGTCTTCTAATTGTAACCTGACCCGGGATGCAGGGGGTTCCAAAAAGAAGAAATGAGACAGGCTTTTGAGCTGCCTCTAAAGAGTCAGGTAAGGTAAAGGTTTTTGTTCTTTCCTAATCCTAGGTGAATGAGTATCCTAAAATGGAATTGTCCAGGGGGTGATCTTGTGATTTTGAGAGATCCAGAGGTCCCATCAATGGCCAGAGCTGTGATAGCAGTAGCAGAATCTCCTGGGTATGGCACTGGCTGATGTCAGAGGAATTTTCTATTTCTGTAACAGAGATCAATAGGAGACAGCACACTTAGCCAAGTGAAAAAGTCACTTGAGGCAAGGTGGTTTCAGGGACTATGGCCCTTTGTAGCAGAGAGAAGTTCTAGCCACAGATTCTAAAGAGAACTGCTCCTGAGAATTGGAGGTGGAACATATGAAAACTATGGTGGAAGAGAGGGCTTCCAGTACCAGAAGTTGTGAGTCACCCCTTTACCCCTAGGTTCCCTTCACATGTTCCTCATTACTACTGAACTTTACATTTGTGCCCATTCTCCCCATGGAGACTGTATATTTGTGGGGCAGTACAACCCAGATATTTTAGGGGAATGTTTTATAATTGGTGTTCTTACTATACCTTCTTAATAAATACATTTCCTAAAAGTTAGTTGTTTGACTATCTAATTGTTAATAGAGGGTACATCAGTGGGGGCCCAGGAACCATAGTAGTAGAATCATAAACCTTCAGGGTTACCCCTAGAATTCTGAGGGCAATAGTATTCAGTCTCCTGTGTACTCAACTTGCCAGTGGGGGTGCAAACTGGCAGAGAGAGCTAGAAGGGAGTGTTATATTTATATACATTTACATAAATTTCACACACACATGCCTATAATTCTTTGAGAAGGTGTGTCAGCATGTGCCTGACTCTCCATAAAGACTGATCTCCCTACAGTTTGACTCAGCACAGAGACAGTAAATGATGGAATCCTTTAGGGGAGAGTGACGGTACTATCAATGATGATGTTCAGAATGGAGCTCAGGCTCTATGAAGAGGCTGAGGCAAGTGAGAGATTGCAGATATGTGTAAATGTGGGTCTGTTGCATTCTAGTTCTGTGTGAATATGGGTATGTGTGAGCATTTGTGTTTGTTGATTTCTGAGTCAACTTTTGGGTGTCCTGGTTTGTGCATTTGAAAACATGCATGTTAGGGTGTGTGTGTGTGTGTGTGTGTGTGTGGTCAAATGCTTCCCAGGATGTCCTGTCACATTTTTCCCTTGGTTCTAGCCCACCAAAATTTTATAGAGTAGATAAAATTTAAACTAAAAGCTAGGAGGCAGAGAAATGATAGGGAGTCAACAGGGGATAAGATATAGAGTCAAGAAGGTTGGGCTCAGGCGATAGCTTGAGCTGGAAGGCAGGGACTTGGATCCCAGGAGAGATCTTAAGTCTATGGAAGAACTCAGGACTGAGGACTAGGACATGGAAGTTAGACACAGAATGAAAGAACAGGAACAGAAGAGAATAGGAGGAAGAAGAGTCTAGAAGATGGGTGCTTGGGTCTACGGACCTTACCAGACTTCACAGTCTCCTGAAGACTGACCGCCTCCTCTAGCTCACCCAGCTCCCTGAGCACCTCTGCCGACTCCAACCCATAGTCCTCCAGGTAGAGGTTGACTGTTTTGTTGGTGAAGTCCAAGGCATCCAGGGGAAGCTGGGCCCCTCTGGGCATACAGTCAAAACCATCCCATAGTGGATGAGGGAAAAGTTTGAGCTTGAACTTCCTGAGCTCATTGATGGTCAAGTTCTCCATGGACTTCAAGATGAGATCCTGGGTGTGCCCCATGGCTCCTAGAACTCAATGATCGGCGTGATCTCTGCCTTTCTCACAGTTTCTCCTAGGAGTGACGGTGGCTGGCTGAGGATAGAGACATCTGCATTCTGAGCAGAGAGACTGGATCAGTAGAAGACAACATGTCCAGTTGGTTCAAGGGTGGGGACACCTTATTCTCCACCCTGGTCTAAACTCCTCCCATATAGTGGGAAGAGGAGGTGAGATAACTAAGAGGAGGGACAAATTACACTAACCAAGGCATGCAGTGTTCCCAATTTCTGGTTTCATTTCTTTCAAAAGGGTAAATTGATTTGATTCAATTCCTCTGGCAATATGCCCATCTATATTCAATTGAGGAAGGATTTCACATTTAGAACATCAGCAATGCAGGTAGAAGAATAGGAGATGGTTTTGGTTGAACCAAGGGGAACTTACAGGTCCTCTGACCTGCAATGGTTGCATTCTGCTTGATTATTGAACAGAAACCCCAGCCTCCTCCTGGGCCTGAGAGACACAACAGCGTTTGGAGACACAAGAGAGCAGAGGTGATACCCCGCTGACACCCCCACTCCCCATTTATAGAATCATGCAATAAGGAACATAGATAGAATCGTAACATAGAAAGCATAGATCCAGAAGACATAGAATCATGAGATGAAGACCAGAGCATCATAGAATCTTACAAATGGAAAATATCTTAAGGGTCTTCCAGTCCAAACTCTATATTGGAGCAAAACCCCCCTAGATATCTTATCAACACTCTACTTCAACACTGCCAGCAACAGAGAATAATTCTACTATACCACATTTGAACTGTGCAGCTCTTGGTAATGGACCATTTCTGCTTTCAAGGATTAATTTAGTTAAGTATATAAAAGCCCATAACCAGTGGATTGGCCATTCAGTGATGGATTCTTTGACCATGGTAACCCTTGAAAACTAGAAAACGACAAAATGACCCTCAATTCTGTGCGGGCCCCTTTTGCTTCTGCAGTGACCAGTGGCCAAAAGAAGATAAAAGGGTAGAGATTGCTAACAATCATAGTCTTTAGACCATCCTTCTATATTAACTGTATCTTTAATTCAATTCTGCTAGAGGAACTGAATCATACCAATTTTTTTATTCTTGATAGAAAGGAATCCATAAAGTAGTACTATGAATGTTTTGGTACGTATGTGTGTATACATATATACACACGTGTATCTATGTGTATATCTATGTATATGTATATATATATATGTGTGTATGTGTGTGTGTGTGTATATGGAGAGAGAGAAAGAAAAACTTTCTTTTTATCATTGACCTTATTGGCATATAAGCATAACAGTAGGATCTTTGGGTCAAAGGGTATGGACATTTTAGCTCTTGTCTTAGTGCATTTCTGAATTACTTTCCAGAATGGTTGTTCCAATTCAGGAACAAACAGTTTTCTATCGTGTCCAGCTTTTTCTGCAACATTTCCTATTCTCATCTTTTGTCATCTTTGTCAGTTTGCTGGGTGTGAGATGAAACTTTAGTATAAAAAGTCATACTTTTTGTAGCGGTAAGGAGTATAGAGAAGGAGATATCTACCCACTGATTGGGGAATGGCTAAACAAATTGTAGTACACCAACCAATCAATAAGCATCTATTAAGCACTTTCTATGTCCCAAGGTCTGGGCCTACTGCTGGGAATACAATGAAAAGGGAAAAAAAGTCTCTGCCCTCAAGAAGCTTACATTCTTCAAATCCAGCCTCAGACACTTGACACTTACTAGCCATGAGACCCTGGGCAAGTCACTTAACCCCAATTGCCTCACCAAAAACAAAAAACAAAACAAAACAAAACAAAACAAAAAAAAGCTTACATTCTAATGATGGGGACATACACACATACATATCTAATATAATAAAATAATATATTTTATAATATATAGTTTTATAGATTCTATAGATTCTATATATTACATGTATGTGATATATAAATATATTAGGACATATAAAATAAATAGAGGGGCAGTTAGATGACATAGTGGATGGAAAACCAAGCCTAGAGTCACAAAAGCTCATCTTCCTGAGTTCAAATACAGCCTTAGACACTTACTAACTGTGTGACCTTGGGCAAGTCACTTAACCCTTTTTGCCTCAGTTTCCTCATATGTAAAATGGGCCTGAGGAGGAAATGGCAAATCACTCTGGTATCTTTGCCAAGAAAACCCCAAATGGGGACACCGAGATTTGAAGGTGATTGAAATGACTGAACAACAAAAATAAATAGAACTGATGGAAAATAACCTTAAAGAGGATGGTATTAGCAGCTGGAGGGGATAAGGACAGGCCTCCTTAAGGAGATGGCGCTTGAGCAGAATTTTAAAGGAAGCCAGGCATTCTAAGAGTCAGAGGTTGGGAGGGAAAATGTTTCAGGTATAGGGAGTAACCAAGGCAAAGGCATGGAGACTGAAGACTGAAGACTGAAGATGGAGGTCTTGCAGAAGGAATGGCAAGTGGGCCAGTTTAACTGTGGAGGGGAATAAAATGCAAGAAAACTGGAAAGGTGGGAAAGAGTCAGGTAGTGAAGGGATTAAATGTTAAACACAGAACTTTCTACTTAATCCTGGAGGTAAGAAGGAGCCAGTGGAGTTCATTGAGGAAAGTAGAGCCTGAGGGTGTATGACGTGGCCTGTGCTAGGAAAATCACCTTAGCAGCTGTGTGGAGCATGGACTAGAGGGAGGCGGGGAGGCTCATTAGAAAATTATAGCCACAGTCCAGAAAGTGGTGATGAGAGCCTGAAAAATGAGGGTAGCTATGTGAGTGGGGAGAAAAGAATGGATGTGGGAGATTTTGAAGAGAAAGATTTTGACAATTCATAGGACTTGTGTTGAGATAGAGAGAGAGAAACACCTTAAAAAATAACCTAACCCAAATGGCAAAAGAGGTCCAAAAAGCCAATGAGGAGAAGAATGCCTTAAAAAGCAAAATTGGCCAAATGGAAAAGGAAGTCCAAAAGCTTACTGAAGAAAATACTTCCTTAAAAATTAGAATGGAGCAGTTGGAAGTTAGTGACTTTATGAGAAATCGAGAGAGAGAGAGAGAGAGAGAGAGAGAGAGAGAGAGAGAGAGAGAGAGAGAGAGAGAGAGAGAGAGAGAGAGAGAGAGAGAGAGAGAGAGAGAGAGAGAGGTCAATAAGGACAGCGAGGTGGAGAACCTGAATGATAGTACCATTGACAATAATAGGGAAATTTAGAAGAGGGGGGACAAAATAAGTTTTGGGGAAAATAATGACTTCTGCTTTGGATATGTTGAATTTGAGATACCTATGGATTGTTCAATTGGAAATTCTATTGGGTCATTGGTGATGTCCTGTCCTATACATAGGAGGTGCTATATAAATGCTTGCTGCCTTCCTTTCTTCCTTCTAATCCTGCAGCCTCCTGGAAGCAGTTCCCTAGTGTCTTTCACACGGATGATGCCATTTTAGCAAATTGATGATGTTTGTATATGGATCAGACCCCCTTCTCCGATTACACATTGACAATAAATACAGAGTAGGTGGAAGGTGACCTTAGAGGAGAAGGCACTAGCAAACATGGACTCCAGGAGATGTCTCATGATAGGGTGGCACTTGAGAGGAGTCTTAGGAGAGCACTCCAGGTAGAGCAGACAGCCAGTGCAAAGATAGAGAGGGACACATAAGATGGATCACCACATGTAAGAAACAAAAAATATGCCAATATGGTGGAACTGTAGAATGCATAGAAAGGAAGAAGATGTTAAATGACTAGAAAGATGGGAAAGGGACTGTTCTAAAGACACAGAAGATTTAGATCTGATCATCTTGGAGGTAACAATAAGCAACTGGAGTTTGTTGTCTGGTGGTGGGGGGACATATGGAGGTGGGGAAGTGGATGAAATGGACAGACGTGATTTAAGAAAATCACCTTGGCAGTTGTACGTATGATGGTGGGAAGATACTTGAGGCAAAGATTACAATTCAGAGACTATGGCAATGGTCCAGGAGACAGGTGGTAAGGGGCTAAACTCTGGTGGTGGCCATATGAGGAAAGAAATGGATATGAGTGATGTTTTTAGAGAAAGAAATTATAAGATTTGACAACTAGTTAAATGTGTGGGGTGAGTGAGAGAGGGGAATCAATGTTGATATGTCAGTAACTGGATGTATGATGGTGTCCTTGATAGCAATAGGGAAATTTAGAAAGAGTGAGGGTGGGGGGTTGAGGGAAAAGATAGTGAACTTTGTGGACATGTTGAGTTTGAGGTGCTTATAGGACATTATTAGAGGTGGGCCTAACTTCGCACTCTTTTAGTTCAGGTTTGATAATGAGATGAAACAAAGCATTTGCAAATCATTGAACAGTAAACAAAAGGTTTACTTTGCCCAGATATAGCAAGGATATGCAACAAGGGTACAGTGGCACTGAATTTCTCTGGACATTACCCCTTCTGTCTCCATATGCAAACTTATCTGGTAAGCAAGGCAGGGTATAGTGACTTATGTGGGCTTCAGAAATCCACCAAGTTGGAGGGGCCCTAAATCCATATAAGTGGTAGTTATTGGGATAAGATGATGATGATGACAGTGATGATGAAAATAATCTCATTATTTGGATAACTTTGTCATCCTGTAATAGCTCACGAACCTTGATACGCTACCTCTGATTGAAAGGTGGGGCTATGAACTCCAATCCTCCATTCAATAAGAGAACTGAGTCCCTCCCCTCACCCCTATTCATTTCTTTCTCTTCCCCCTCCCCCTTCCTTCTTTCTCCCTCTCAGAACATTTGTGCAGCTGTATTTTGAATTAGCAGCTCCAACCTCTGGGAGAAACTTCTGGTGATACAGAGCAGGTTAAGTGAAGAGGAAAAACAAGATATTATTCTCTTCTCCCTGCACATAACTTGAGACAAACAAAAGTAAATTCTAACCATGAGAGAAATTGTACCTATCCAAGCTAGCCAGTGTGGCAATCAGATCAGTGCAAAGTTCTGGGAGGTGATTAGTGATGAACGTGGCATTGACTCCACTGGCACCCACCCTGGGAATAGTGACCTGATGTTAGACCGATCTATGTCTACTACAATGGGGCCACTGATAGTAAAT